GGTGCCACAACAATGAAGGGGAGCCCAGGGGTGTCAGAACCCCCAGACAAGGTGAGGAAGGGGGAGAGAGAGCCTGTGGACAACACGCCTGTGTCTGTGACTGTGACTGTCGGAGCAGTTGGGACCCGGTGGAGCACAGACTGCCCTCAGGCATGTTTATTCCCACCAGACGCAGCTCCTGCAGGAGGAACTTGGCCCTGGAAAGGCAGGGAGAGGTCAGGGAGGCTGTGGGACAGGTGGGGAGGGACTGGGAATGTGGTAGCTGCCCGCTGTGTTAGGCAACGGGATCAGGCAGCCAGGGGTGAAGTGGGGCAACACTGTACCAGGCTGGAGAGGGCGCCCCCAGATGTGCAGTTAGAGGACAAGGGGACGGGGGACCCCCCCCCATCAGCCAGGCAGGTAAGTGCAGAACAGGTGAGTCTCTCCTTCACTGGATTTCCCTCGCAGGTGATGCTGTGTCCCTCGGTTCTGACAGTCCTGTCTGCTTCAGGGTCTTCCTCCTGATCTCCATGACCGCAGCGCAGGTCTTCCCAGTGGCTGTGTGCTGTCAGCTCTTCCCGCGGTCGTCACTGGGAGGAGACCCTCCCTGGAGTTAGAGGATCGCTGGTGTCACCTGGGTGTGTCAGGTGTGGGACGTATCTGAGTACCTTTCACTGTGGAGACGGGACACAAACTGGGGGACTTCCAGTGTCCCTTCTGTCCACATCCAGGGGCTGTTTCCTTGCTTTCAGGGCCACTGTGATCTGCAGAGAGCTGCCCTTCTCCTCTACACTCTACAGAGCGGGTTACTGAGCCCGGGAGCTGTCCAGGTCTGAGGTCAGTGGGCACGTCAGTTCACAACAAGTATGGATGGAGAGATTGGACATAGGCTGGACTCTTCATGCTGAATTATTTTCCTTAATTCTCCAGGATGTCCAGAGATGAACTATAGGAAGACTAGTACTGGGAAGACTGGGGAGTTGGAATGGAAGTGGGATACTCTCTTGTCCCATGTTTTCCCAAGATATCCAGAGGCTGCCAATGCAGAGCCAGGTATGGATGGGAAGATAAATTGGGAGTTAGGTGCTTCCTCCCATCCCTTTTCCTAGTTTTCCAGGATGTGTTGGTATTGACATTGGACTGTGTTTTCCTTCATTTTCCAGGCTGGCCATAGGCAGCCAGTGGGAAGACAGATATGGCTGGGAGTTGGGATGGAGTTGAGAAGCTCTCCTTCACTGGCTGTCCCTCGCAGGCGACGACGTCCTTACATGATCGGTGCTGATCGGACCGATCTGGGATCCACAGAGTAGGAGTCATCTCGGGGAGACATCCAGGGTGTCCCAATCTCCTGCCTGCTGGAGCTTGTGAGGATGACGATGATAAAGAGCTGCGGGTGACCCTGATTCAGGCTGCTCCCTGGAGACGAGCTCCAGGCGGAGAGCCAGTGGACTCCTCCTATCGGGGCTCCAGGGGGTGACCCTCAGGGCTGTGTCCTGACCTCCTGCTGTCTCTCGCCTCAGACCTTGACTCTGGGAGGAGCCCAGCGCCTGGACGCCCCGAAGACTCGGGCTGACCAGGAGGAGCCCAGAGGTGTCACATCCTCCGAACAAGGTGAGGAAGGGGGAGAGAGAGCCTGTGGACAACATGCCTGTGTTTTTCTGGGATGGGTCACCAGAACAGCAGCTCTGGACCGGAGCAGTCGGGACTTGGTGGAGCACAGGCTGCCTTCAGGCATGTTTATTCCCAACAGGAGTCAGGTCAGACCCTGTACAACGCAGGAGAGGGTGCTCCCAGACCTGCAGTTAGAAGTCAAGAGGGTGTTCTTGACTGGTCAGCACAGGAGGGGACAGGGTACCCCATCAGCGCTGAAGGACACGAGGCGCCAGGCAGGTAAGTGCAGACCAGGTGAGTCTCTCCTTCACTGGCTGTCCCTCGCAGGTGACGCTGGTCTTACATGATCGGGGCTGATCGGACCAATCTGGGATCCACAGACTCCCAGGGGACAGAGTAGGAGTTGTCTTGGGGAGACATCCAGGGTGTCCCGATCTCTGCCTGCTGGAGCCTGTGAGGATGATGATGACGAAGAGCTGCTGGTGACCCTGATTCAGGCTGCTCTTTGGAGACGAGCTCCAGGTGGAGAGCAAGTGGACTCCTCGTATCGGGGCTTCAGGGGGTGACCCTTAGGGCTGTGTCCTGACCTCCTGCTGTCTCTCGCCCCCAAAGACCTGGTCAGTGTGCTGTTGACACTACACCCTCGTACCCAACACCAGCCTTCAGCATGAGCACAGGGTCAGGTTAGTCCTGTCATTCCTATATCACACTTGGGGCATGAACCCACAACCCAACTAGTGAGAGAGGAGAAAGGAGAGAGGAGATTTATAAAGTTACTAGCATTGATATCGGAGCCTGGTGAAGTATTATTGTATAATTAACAGTAATACTGTAACTAGTAATACAAGTGAACACTGGGCTAAATACAGATGACGAGGCACAGAGAGACTGCAGAGCCAGACTGCTGCCTTCAGACGCACGAACCAGCTGTCACAGCTGTGCAGCCTACAGCAGTGTGTCCTGCTCTCTGAGCTCATACACTGCGAGCCACAAAGGTCAAAGGTCAAGATTGACTCCAATGCGCAAGCTTTCCAGAGGCAGCCAGTGGGAAGACCCGAGGCTCTGTTCTGTGTTCATTTCTGTAGTTTTCCAGAATGTCCAGAGGCAGACAGTGGGAAGACGGGTATGGAGGTGGGGTGCTCTCTCCTGTCCCTCTTTTCCCTAATTTTCCAGGATGTCCAGAGCTTGCTAGTGGGAAGACAAGTATGGATGAAAATTGAACCCTCTTCTTTGTGTTTTTCCCTAATTTTCCAGGCCGTCCGGGATGCTGCCAGCTATACTGGAATAGTGGTTGGATACTCTCTCCTGTCCTGCTTTTCCATTTTCCATCAAGTCCGGAGGCTGAAATTGGGAAGACCGGCATGGATGAAGATTGAACCCTCTCCTGTCTCCTTTGGATGCTCTCTCCTGTTATTTTTACCCTGATTTTCCAGGATGTCCAAAAGAACTGACAGTAGGCAGATGGGTATGGATGAGGAGTTGGAATGGAGGTGGGGTGAAGATTGAACCCTTCTGTGTTCTTTTCCCTATTTTTCCAGGTTGTCCAGAGGCTGACAGTGGAGAGACGGGTATGGATGAGGTGTTGGGATTGACGTTGAACTCCCTCTCCTGTGTTTTCCAGGCTGCCCAGACGCTGCCAGTGGGAAGAGAGGTAGGCTTTGGAGTTGGGGTAGAGGTTGGATACTTTCCCTAATTTTCCAGGGTTTCCAAAAAATTGAAAGTGGGAAGACAGGCTTGGAAGGGCAGTTGGAATAGAGGTGGGATGCTCTTTTCTCTAATTTTCCAGGCTGGCCAAAGGCTGCCAGTGGGAAGACAGCTTGGGAGTTTGAATAGTGATTGGATGCTCTCTCCTATAATCTTTTCCCTGCTTTTCTAGGATGTCCATAAAATTGACAGTGGGAAGACGGGTATGGATGAGGAGTTGGGATTGACGTTGAACTCCCTCTCCTGCGTTTCCCAGGCTGCCCAGACGCTGGATACTCTCTCCTGTAATCTTTTCCCTAATTTTCCAGGTTGTCCAGAAGCAGACAGTGGGAAGACGGGTATGGATGAGGTGTTGGGATTGACATTGGACTGTATTTTCCTTAAATTTCCAGGCTGGCCAGAAGCCGATAGTGGGAAGACAATTATGTATGAAGATTGAACCCTCTCCTGTACTCTTGTTCTCTAATTTTCCAGGATGTTCTGAGGAAGACAGTGGGAAGACCGGTATAGATGGAATGATAGATTGGGGGTTGGATGCTGTCTCCTGTGTTTTTTCCCTAATTTTCCAGGTTGGCCAGAGGCAGACAGTGGGAAGACAGGTATGGATGAGGTGTTGGGGTTGACGTTGAACTCCCTCTCCTGTGTTTTCCAGGCTGCCCAGACGTTGCCAGTGGGAAGAGAGGTAGGGTTGGGATAGAGCTTGGATACTCTAATTTTCCAGGATGTCCAAAAAATTGAAAGTGGGAAGATAGGTTTGGAATGGAGGTGGGATGCTCTCTCCTCTTTTCTCTAATTTTCCAGGCTGCCAGTGGGAAGACGGCTTGGTAGTTGGAATAGTGATTGGATGCTCTCTCCTATAATCTTTTCCCTGCTTTTCTAGGATGTCCATGAAATTTCCAGTGGAAAGATGGGTATGGAGGTGGGGTGCTCTCTCCTTTTCCTTAATTTTCCAGGATGTTCAGAGGCTGCCAGTGGGAAGACATGTACGTATGAAGATTGAACCCTCTCCTGTAGTCTTTTCCCTAATTTTCTAGGATGTCCAGAAAATTGAGTGGGAAGACATGTGTGTTTGAAGATTGATCCCTCTCCTGTTTTCTTTTCCCTAATTTTCCAGGCTGGCTAGGGGCAGATAGTGGGAAGACGGGTATGGCTGGGAGTTGGGATGGAGGTGAGAAGCTCTTTCCTGTCTTTTTCTTCCTCCTTCCCTAATTTTCCAGAGTCCAGAGGCTACCAGTGGGACGATCGGTATGGATGAGTTGTTGGGATTGTCATTGGACTGTGTTTTCCTTAATTTTCCAGGTTGTCCAGAGACTGCCAGTGGGAAGACGGGTATGGCTGGGAGTTGGGATGGAGGTGAGAAGCTCTTTCCTGTCTTTTTCTTCCTCCTTGTGTCGGTCTCTGTGACGTCTCTCTGCCTGTCTCTTGAGCTGTGTGTCTTTCTCTTAGTCCAGCTGCTTGTGCTCTGTAAAACACTACACTTCTGCAGTATTAAACAGGGCTTCTTGACTGTGGATTGCAGGTTTGATTCCAGAGGGGGACACAGTCTTGTACCCCAGAGTGAGACACTTTGCTCAGATAGACTGTTCTGATCATGGTTATCAGTGGCTGTACTATAGGGAGTGGAGTGTTGACAATGGTGTACTCAATTCTCGAGGGTATTGTATCTTAATACACTAACACATGTGTGCTGAACTCACACTTGTACTGAGCTTCAGTACTTGGTGACGCACCAGTATGCTGAACTTTCACTTGTTGTGTACTTGAATGCTCAAACCTGTTACCATTTTAACCCTCAACTGTACTATTATAGTACTCAGCCCTGTGTGATGAGCTGTTGTAATACTCGGATATGTGAACTTGTATGTCTGACTGGTACTAGTTGACAATGCTCAGACTTGCGTACTTAACTCTCGCCAGCACTGAGCTTTAATACTTAATGACGCATCTCTGTACTGAACTCTCATCTTTACTGTGCTTTCATACTCAAAAGTGTGTGCTGACCCCTCATGTGGACTGGACTATTATATTTCAACCAGGGTGATACACGTGTGTGCTAAACTCTCAACTTTACTGTGCTTTAATACTCAAACTCTGTGCTCAGCTCTCACCTGGACTGCACTAAAATACTTAAACCACTGTGCTGATCCCTAACTTGTAAGTGAGCTTTAATATTCAGTGACACACCAGTTTGCTGAACTTTAACCTGCAGTGTTCTTTAAATCTCAAATCTGTGTGCTATACTCTTACCTTGATTGAGTTTTAATACTCGATGACACACCTGTGTGCTTTACTCTTTCACTTGTCTTAATTCTTGGATCTGTGTGGTCAGCTCTGGACTAAAAAACTTAAACCAGTGCTTTTTCCTGTACTTCAATACCGATACTTGTGTGCTCATCTCTCACCTGGAGTGTACTCAACATAACGGGTACTTTTTCCTGTGTTTAATACCAAAACCTGTGTTCTGAACTCTCATCTCCCCTGAGCTGTAATGTGTGGTAATACTTAAACCTGTAAACGTAACTCTTACATTGACTGTCAGGTCTCACCTGGACTGTACTGAAATACTTAAACCAGGGAGGTGAGCTTGTACTGAGCTTTAATATTCAGAGATGTGTATGCTGACCCTTCTGTAGTGTACTTCAATACTCATCTGTGTGCTACACTCTTACCTCTACTGAGTTTTAATACTCAATGACACACCCGTGTGCTTGACTCACCTT